CCACACCCGCCACAACCACAACAACCACAACCACAACAAGCTCAACAAGCTCAACAACTAACAACCGCAACAACCGACAACCGACAACCGACAACCAACAGCCAACAACAATCAAGCAACAATCAACAATCAACAACCACAACCGCCACAACCACAACAACCACAACCACAACAAGCTCAACAAGCTCAACAACTAACAACCGCAACAAACCGACAAACCGACAACTTACAACCACAGCAACAAACACTCAAGCACAATCAACAACAACAACCAACAACCGCACAAACCACAAACAACCACAACAACCACAACCACAACAAGCTCAACAACTAACAACCGCAACAACCAACAACCGACAACCGACAACCAACAGCCAACAACAATCAAGCAACAATCAACAATCAACAACCACAACCGCCACAACCACAACAACCACAACCAAACAAGCTCAGCAACTAACAACCGCAACAACCAACAACCGACAACCGACAACCAACAGCCAACAACAATCAAGCAACAATCAACAATCAACAACCACAACCGCCACAACCACAACAACCACAACCACAACAAGCTCAACAACTAACAACCGCAACAACCAACAACCGACAACCGACAACCAACAGCCAACAACAATCAAGCAACAATCAACAATCAACAACCACAACCGCCACAACCACAACAACCACAACCACAACAAGCTCAACAAGCTCAACAACTAACAACCGCAACAACCGACAACCGACAACCGACAACCAACAGCCAACAACAATCAAGCAACAATCAACAACCACAACCGCCACAACCACAACAACCACAACCACAACAAGCTCAACAAGCTCAATAACTAACAACCGCAACAACCGACAACCGACAACCGACAACCAACAGCCAACAACAATCAAGCAACAATCAACAATCAACAACCACAACCGCCACAACCACAACAACCACAACCACAACAAGCTCAACAAGCTCAACAACTAACAACCGCAACAACCGACAACCAACAGCCAACAACAATCAAGCAACAATCAACAATCAACAACCACAACCGCCACAACCACAACAACCACAACCACAACCAGCTCAACAAGCTCAACAACTAACAACCGCAACAACCGACAACCGACAACCGACAACCAACAGCCAACAACAATCAAGCAACAATCAACAATCAACAACCACAACCGCCACAACCACAACAACCACAACCACAACAAGCTCAACAACTAACAACCGCAACAACCAACAACCGACAACCGACAACCAACAGCCAACAACAATCAAGCAACAATCAACAATCAACAACCACAACCGCCACAACCACAACAACCACAACCACAACAACCGACAACCGACAACCAACAGCCAACCAGGAAGTTGGTGGCAACTGCTTGCCGTCCTCCCAGCAGTGGGTTGGCTAAGGCCATGCCATTGCTGGCCTGCATCCAGCGGGTTGGTGAGAAGAACAATGGTCGAATTGTTGGGAAAACCATTGGAAAACCATTGGGAAACCATTGGAAATGGGAATTTCATGGGATTTATGGATGATTTATGATAGCGTTCAGTTGGTGCAAATAACTCCAATAACTATGGTTTATGCTAGATATATCTATATTTACTAGAGATTATAAATCAACTTTTAACTGGGAGTTAGCATATACTGTTATTCTCCAGTAAACTCACATAATTATGGAGGCCATGGCCTATTTAGTTCGTTGATCTACCTATACAACATGCTGATTTCCATAGACAACCAATTAGTTTTTGTGAGGGTAACAACCCCAAGAAAGATAGAAGGTAATTCATACTACCCGCAAATAGTGATGAATATGACTTTTCTGCATTGATAATATGCGGGGGGTACTATAACTAATTGAGGTATCAATAATAATATAATTTCAGAAATGCTGA